TTTTGTTCCTTGTTCCATCCCAGGAGAAAGCCACCCAGGTTTGTGTAATATAGTAGCTTAGCTATTATTGGTCTTGCCTCTTAGTTCATTGTCTTTACATAATGGTTTTAAGCAATCAGTGTTGAAATTTTTAAAGACCAGTTTGAGTGGCTGAACACTGTAAGGTTCAATATAGACCCCATAAAAGTGACATAAATAGGGGGCTTGAAAATATTAATTTAAGCATGATATAATATATCACGTGAAATATTAATTTAAATATATATAATAGACATTATGCCCTCGTTAAAAGATTTATCTGGTTGTTTGATATTTTTGAAGGTACGCTCAGTATGCAAACCTTTGAAGGTTCTTGGAATACATACAGTGAGTATACACCCTGGTGCTTCCTTAGATCATCAGATTGAAGGGTAAATATCAACTCTGATCTTATGAAATTGGTGCCTAAGGATAATGCCATTTTGGCAATGTTTATTGCGGATTTGACCCAAAGTTTATGGCAAGTGGCCTTTTATTAGTATCCAAAGCCGATAATTAGGTTTTTCAGAATACTGGAGTTCTTGTCATGGGCATTCTTGTACCTATGATATGGCAAAAAGTTGGAGTTAATATACTCAAGTACAGTGTGCCTAGCCTAGCTGGGTAAATCATTTTTTAGTCTGGTCCAAGTCCAATTAAAAAACTGTATGCATTTTGCTTGAAACCCTGTTATGAACCTGTATGCAATTGACAGTTGAGTTGAAATGAATACTTGCAAAACTGTTCAAGTTCAGTGCCTTATTGGTTCTTGATGAGACATATACCATTTGGATACCCTTGTTTTTTGTGTGGAATGCCTAGCCTAGCTGGGTAAATCATTTTGTAGTCTGGTCCAAGTCCAATTAAAAAACTGTATGCATTTTGCTTGAAACCCTGTTATGAACCTGTATGCAATTGACAATTGAGTTGAAATGAATACTTGCAAAACTGTTCAAGTTCAGTGCCTTATTGTTTCTTGATGAGACATATACCATTTGGATACCCTTGTTTTTTGTGTGGAACTTTCATATCCTTTATATTTATTTATATTTATGTTATTTCCGTTCGATTAAATAAAGAGTATTTGGAGGATTTCTTTATTTATATTTACGTTATTTCCGTTCGATTAAATAAAGAGTATTTGGAGGATTTCTCATTTTATGTACTTGTTGACCTGTTACCATGTAAATATTAGTTGGTGAGTTTCATCACCTTAGTTTTATTTTATCATTGAAGTTTTAAAAACTATTATATATCTATTTTTATATATGTACAATGATGATGTTCCATGTGATGCACATGTGTGTTTGCTTTCTCTATGTATGCAGAGCTATAAGCTTTAAGTTGTTGGTTCTGTGCTTTTATTGTATGTGCTGGATCTACTTAGCTTTTCATATACAGTTTTGCCTTTATTCAGTTCCTGATTAAATTTTGGTTTTGTAAAAAAATAGTCTGAAGAGTTCTGAACCTGAGTTTATGATTGCAACACCTGAGAGACTTTCAGAGCTTCTTTCCTTGAAGGCCATAGATCTATCTGGTGTTTCCTTGCTGGTAATATGTTTGTGAACTTTTTTATTTGTTATGCAATATCTAATATCAGGTGCACGTTTGATTACCTTATTTACATATAACTACACTACCGCTGTTACATAAGGTTTCATATATTCGATTCCTAGGGATTTTTTTGTCGTTTTTATATTTTTGAGTGTGTGGACATAAGTGTAGAATTTGTCTACTTAGCTCACAGAGGCCTTTAGCCTAGGCCTTTTTTAGTGCTCTATGAAATATAGGATTGTGTATTTCACCAGAAGACCAATGAGAACTAACAGTTCAGTTTTTTTCATCAATGATCATCAATCCACCAAAGTATTACCATCACGACATGTTATTTTCCTTTTCTTTCTACCTGTTTTCAGAAAGAAAAAATAAAGGTTTGTAATGCATCCCTTGTCACTTGAACAGGTTGTTGATGGACTGGAATCTTTCCATAAACAAGGTTGCTTTGATAAAATAAACTCCATTCGCCAATCGATGAGTGGAAAAACCCATACAGTTGTTTTCAGCGATTGCTATAGACATGCCTGTGTACGAGGGTTACAAAATCTTCTGATGGGATCAGTCCATAGATTATCTCTAAATAATTCTGTCACCGGTCAAAGTGCATGCATCATTCAGTCTGTAAACATTTGTCTGATGAAAGAAAAACTACCAAAGGTATGTATATGATTATGATTTTCTCAAAAATTAAATTGTGGGGTTAACTGTAATTCCAAAAGAAAATCATTCCATAATTTATTTTAATTTTTTTGTAAGTAATTTGTTTCATTTTGCTACTATAATTATTTTATTTTATGTAGGAAGTTTGATATATATAATATTTTTATTTTTTTTTTGAAAAGAAGAAGATAATATTGGTTAGAGGTACTGTTGTAGGATGGACTTTCCAGAGTTGAAAATGGAGGTGAGCTGTAAGCCTCAATGCCTAATGTATATCTTAATCTGAAGAATTGGATGGTAATGTTAGAGTACTTAGGGAATTGGATGGTAATGTTAGAGTACTTAGGGTTGGTTTGTTGAAGAGGGGAACTTGGAACTCTTTTCATGAGCAAGTTCCAGAACTCTTTCACGTACCCAGTGAGAAGTGAGAAGTATTCCATAAAATATATTTGCATAAATACTTTTGATCTCTCTCTCGTGTTGAAAAAAAAAATACATGAGTAGTTATGTTGTTGAGTTATAGTGGAGAAAGTGCATTCGTTGTAATTATTTATTTATTTAATTTGTCAGTTAGTTAAACTGTATTCTTGGGGAATATATCCTTGAAGTAGCATTTTCAGCTATACTGCCAAATACTTTTGCAGGCCATCCAAGTTCTTGATCAGGCTTACGGTGGTCGACTCCGTCCTCAGGCTTCAAAGGTGCTATATATCGTAGGGAAAGATAACAAGCATCATAAACTAGTTAATGCGCTAAAGTTCAAGGGCTATTCCATCTCACCTGACTCAGTTTTCTCAGAAGTTGGGAACAGGTTGATGTTCATACTCTTTATTTTATTCATGGACGCCTCTGATGACTTTCATTTCATTTTTTTCATGACGGATGTATGTTTGGACTTGATTGTTATCCAACTTTAGGGTTTAAACTGAAGGCAACTTGTTCAATCAATTGAGTTTCTAGTCATAAATTTGAAGGCTTGTATGCAGAAAGGTAGACGTTAGTTTACATTGGACTATAAGGTAGAATTTAGGTACATTCTCGGTTTACATGCTTGTAGTCTATCATTTAAAAAAACCAAAGTTGATCGGATACCTCTGCGTGCTTGCAAAGGAAAGAGTATTGCTTCCCTTTTGATGTCTTGTAGATGCTGCTCTATGTATGTTCATACTCTCTTTGTGCAAATGACTCATTGTTTGTCTTTGTCATCTGTTCAGTGTGGAATCCAAGGGCAGGGCAAGGCCTGCAGTCTCCATGATTGACATAGACCAAATTGGTACAACCGAATTAGGTGAATATGAAGTTGTAATTATACCCGATATGACACTTTCAATCGAGAGTTACGTTCAAATCCTCACGAGAATGGCTCGCTACACTGTGAATGGCGTATTGCATAGCTTGTTTACCAGAGAAGACGCAGAGCTTGCTGGACCGCTGACGAAGATCCTTGACCAATGTGGGCAGGCAGTGCCTGAAGCCCTAAGAAAAATGTCTTTTTCATAAGCCATGCCGGAACGTTGACATTTGAGTTTGCCTTTTTTCCTTTTTCGATTACCAGTTTTGCCAAATGTTGTCAGTTTATGATAAATTTCATATTGCTAGCTTTGTCAACTTGCGTAAGAACTTCTACAACGATATAATGCTATATATAACACTGAATTTTCATTTTCAAGTGTAAAAGAGTGCAAATTTTTCTTACTTTTAATCAGGAGATCAGATTATATTTCAAGAGTTTTTACTGATGACTCCATAATGTTGTTCGTATGGTTTAAAATAGGCTTTTTATCACAAAACATCCCTGACGTTTGTGAAACTATCAGATTGCATCTTTTAAATTTTTTTGTATCACTCGTGGTTCCTAACATTAATATGGGTGCTCTTCAATAGTCCCCCCATAAAAAAAATTGTTAAATCCCCAATTTTATGAGGGATATAATCGTAAGATCAACTCCTTTTGACCTCCCCACCTTTTCTAGCGGTTGTCAGGTTTTCACAACCCTCTCCAGCACCTCAAGTGGCATCACAACCTCCTATCGCACACAATTCTTCAACCCAGCAAGCCTCAACATCACAAACAAATCCAAAGAAGGAAATTAAAGTCTCCAGCAAAGAAAGGAAGGCCATGGAGAGTTTGAGATGATGTTTTATGGAATTGTAATTGGAAGTGATCTAAGGTTTTTGATGTATAGATGGAAGCTTTCTAGGGGTTAAAGTGATGGAACTGAAAAGTCGTTTTTGATGGAAGTGGTCTAGGATTTTTGTATTTATGGAAGTGATTTTTTATGGAAGTCATGTACGGGTTAATGTGATGAAACTGAATGTGGTTGATGATGTAATTGAAAGTGATTTTTTTATGTATGGAAGTGTAAGACATTCTTTTAGCATGTGAAAATGGAACTGCAGCTTTAGCTGCCCGCCAATTCCAACAAAAAATGGAGGGAAATGGTTCCAAATTGGCAGCAAATGGGTCTAAGGCGTTGAAGAGGTCAAAAGGAATTGATCTGACGATTATATCTCTCATAAAATGAGGGATTTAACGATTTTTTTGACGGATGAACTATTTAAAAGCACCTATATTAACGTTAGGGATCACGAGTGATACAAAAAAACTTTAAGGATGCAATATGATAGTTTCGCAAACGTCAAGGATGTTTTGTGATAAAAAGCCTTTAAAATATTTTAGTGTATTCGTTATCCTTTCTTTCTTATTTTTTCTCAAAATAAACTTCTATTTTTTTTTATTTTTTTATTTTACTGAAGTGTATAATATTAATAATCTTAATATTATCACGTGTAATGGTTGTCGTTTTTGTCCTCACATTCTTGATTTTCCTGTTTGTAGTCTTACTCATCAATACAATCAAGAACAAAACAAAGCTGGATTATGTTTGCATTGTTATTTTTTATCTTTCTGCTAAAGATAAGAAGGAGATGAGGGAAATTCACACGCACGAATATTATGGGGACTTGTATATAGAACTACAAAACAAAGCTGGATTATGTTTGCATTGTTATTTTTTATCTTTCTGCTAAAGATAAGAAGGAGATGAGGGAAATTCACACGCACGAATATTATGGGGACTTGTATCTAGAACTACTGGAGAGCACACCAAAAATCTGGGCAATCCAACTAATACCCCATTGGTGTTTGCATTATTTTGTTCATGGATACTAATTGAGCGTACTGATCATGAATGACCCAAATTCAAATGCTGAATCTATATAAATAAACTTTCGCTTTATTCATTCCAAGGACATAAGAATTTGCATTGAATAGCCACTAACTTGAGCGTCGTAACTATTTGTTTTGTCATACAGAAAATGCTATATGTAAACAAGTAATTTTATGTGTAATTAAAAAATTTTGTCGGCATTATTCATCTATGTAATGGTAAAACAATGCCACCGTATTAAAATTAATAATAAATGTCTTAAATATTACTATAAACTCCGTTCGAAGTAGAATAAATTCAAAAGAAAAAGAAATATCAAATCACAAGCAATGCAAAAATGTTTTGATCAATTTGTAAAATATTGTTTGTTACGTGATTTTTCAACTACTGTGGAACTTTACTTTTCTTGATATACAAATTATTAGGAAATTAGGTATCTGAATTCATCATACGATTGAAGTAATTTTTATTTATGCATTTCACTATATTGAAATTATACAATACTTAACCAAGGTGGTTGGTGTGAGTGGTTCGGCACTCTCATTCCTTAAGAGAGGTCAGGGGTTCGATTCCTGCTTTCGTATGGAGTCACCACTTTGGCCAGTACTTTACTCCTTACGGGCCGACTCGGTGTGAGCGGGGATTAGTCTGGGTTGTGGTTAAGGCTTAAAGGTGCCACCCATAGTTGGGGCCTATTCAGGACCACCTCGTGATTTCAGACCAAAAAAATAAAATAAATTATACAATACTTTAATTACATAATGCCTCCTGTTGTTGTACAAATACGTTATCATAACAAGAAACATTTTTGCCATGAGTATAACTCAATGGACTTTATTAGTGTCGTAAAATTAGTAGGTTCATTTATAAGCGATTATAGATCGACGATGCATTTTAACTTAACCAAGTTGAAAAAACTTTCGTCTTTAATATTGTAGGTTATGTATTTATGAGGTACTAGAGGGTTTTGATATCCCAAATCACTCGGACCCTTGCAAGAAATCTTATAAATGGACAAGTACATAAGACTTGACTCCATCCAATACTTATTTCCATTTCCCAAAGAAAATAAAAACTAAATCAGTACCAAAAAGCACTATGGCAGCAGCAAATATGTATCCATTGTTGGTCATTTTGCTTTTGGTGAGTCCATCTGGAATGGTTTTTGCAGGTTTCGGAATTCCAACCTCAGAAGCATCAAATTTGAAGACCTTTGATGAATGTAAAAAATATATCTACATACAGTGCCTTCGGGAAGTTGGTGGAAGTATTTTCGAAGTTGGGACTAGTGTAACAAATGGTTGTTGCCATAATCTTAAGTTTGTAGGCAAAACTTGCCATGATATATTCTTCAACTATGCTTTTGCGTCTAAACCCAATGTCAACAAATCTGAAGCTTTGGCAATGAGTACACAAGTTTGGAACCAATGTGTTGAAATTACAATTCCCTCAACATCTTCTATCACAATTCCAACTTCAAAGGCATCAAAGCTGAAGAGCTTGGATGAATGTAAAAAACATATCTCTATTAAGTGCGCTCGGGAAGTTGGTGGAAGTATTTTCGAAGGTATGACTAGTGTAACGAATGGTTGTTGCCATAATCTTGTGTCTATGGAGAAAACATGTCATGATCTATTCTTCCACTATTCTCTTGCTTCTATACACAATGTCGACAAATCTGAAGCTTTGGCAAAGAGTACACAAGTTTGGAACCGATGTGTTGACATTACAATTTCCCCCACGGGAGATTTACTATTATATCCAATATATGAGCCTAAATTATAAAAAAATCCGATATGAAATAGACTTTAAAAACACACCCAAAACCCATTTATAACATAACAAAAAGGCTTTTAACTTCTTTTAAATTACAAAACTGCCATTGATTTCTTAAAACAACCCAGCCCTAAAATCTCATAAAAAAGCTCAAAACACTCAATAGGGCTTCAAAGTAATTTAATAATCAAAATTAAATAAAATAGGGCTAGCTATTATTTTTTCAGGTTTTTTTGGGTTTGTTTATAGGAATTAAATAGTGTAGGTTTATTTATAATATTAGTGCTAAGAATGGGTATATAACTAAATATCTCTTCAGTTTAATCAGGAGATGAGATTATATATTTCAACATTACTTTGCATTAGCATTAATTGCAGACAAATTTGTTCAGACCTATCGATTTCAAGTGTGGTATGAGAGAGTTGCTTCTGACTGCTGTCATGGGTTTGCCAAAGTAGAAAGATTAAGAGACTTCCCA